TCCCAATTACTTAATGACAACAAAACCAAAACCAAGATCCTAATCTTTTTGTTTCTTTAATCGCTATTTCTTTTTTCTTCTTCTTTCTCCAACGCCTCTATCAAGCAATACGAATTTAACAAAACCTTGAGGAAATCATCTCTAATCTGACTTATTGTTGTGTTTCAAAGAATCTAGAGGGTTTAATCCCTCACTTTTCAAGTCCAATGAAGATCCTTTGGTTTCACCGTTTTACGCTTTGACGTAGTTAACTATGTTCGAAAACCAGTATAGTAGGTAACTATGTTTCTGATAATAGTTAACTATGTTTTTGATAATAGTTAACTATGTCGATTTTAATTTTTTTACTATGCAAACTATAATAGTTACGTGAACGTAGTTAACTATATTTGTTTAAATAAGTAACTATTACAATAGTAGTCAACTATGTCATGAAATCAATAGAGTATATAATTATACTATAAAAATAGTTAACTATATTTCTTTAAATAACTGACTATGTCAAAAATATTTTTTTGTAGTCAACTATGTATTGAAATCAATAAAATAGATAAATATGCTCTGAAAATAATATGCGTAGTTAACTATGTTATTAAATAGTATGCGTAGTTAACTATGTTATTAAGTAGTTAACTATTACAACATATTTATTTTTTGTTTAATTTTGTCATCTTTTGATTTTTTTTTTTGGTGCAGAACACAGAAATACAATCAGTTATACGCATGAGCAGTTTTTCGAGTGATTAATTCAAGAGAAGATTGTTAGGGATTTTTTTTAGAGAAATTTCAAAAAATGCCACTTTTCAAATGCCACATTACAAAAATGCCACACTTTTGAAATCTTTACAAAAATGCCACTTTTTCAAAATTATTTTTTCTTTATATTATTTATGTTTGGGTTAACTATTTTCTATTAAGGTTTAGTTATGAGAGTTTAGGGGGAGTTTCGGGGTCAAAACATTTTTTAGTGTTTAGAATTTTAAGATATAGGGTTTAAAAAACTATAATTAGTGGTATTTTGCAAATGAACACCTCTAAGTGGCATTTTTGCAAATGTGCACATAAAAAGTGGCATTTTTGCAATTTCTCCTTTTTTTAGGGATTTTTACTATTTTTCTTTAAAAAAATGATTGTCATATCATAGTTTTTCACTATTTTCTCTAAATGATTTCGTAAAGGCAAATTTGTCCAGATTTTTCTTCTCTCTCCTAGATACCTAAATTTTATTATGCACATGTTAGTTACCTAAATACCTACCCCCAAACTAATATTAAGCTAATTAACCTTTATTTTTACATGCTTTCTTTTGATTATTTGATTTAGGATTTTAGTTATTGTAACTTTTAAAAATAATTTATTTTTGGATTTTAATGAATCTTACTTTATTTCCAAAAAAGTATGTTCAACCAAAAAATTAATTAAATAAATCGGTTATATTTCGTTTCGGTCCAAATGTAAATTTATGTATCATCAACTCCAAAGTTAAAAGTATGACAATCTTTAGTAAAATATACACAAGATTAATCTAACGTTACAAGATTATGGAAATTGTTATCTCCACAAATTTGCATATCCGAAATTTAAAAATATCTCAGAAATAATATCTATGAGCAACTACAAATTTAAAAGTGTGAAATTTGGCTGTTCTGAGATTTATGTATCATCAATTCTAATTTTTAAATATGAAAATCTTTGATAATTGGAATTATTGAAAGCTTTCAATAAAAAGGTTTTAACATTTTTGATATCTAATTAATAATGGACTTATATGATCCAGAATTTATGTATCATCAACTCCAAATTTAAAAATATAAAAATCTTTAGTAAATCTACACAAGAACAATATTGTCGAAATATTCCAATTAAATAAGAATTACCATATTCTTGATTTATTGATTGACGTTAACAAAATCCAAAATTTTAGTACCATTATTTATAATTGAAAAAATATGGAAATCTTAAGAGTATCTCCACAAAATATACGATTTATTTTAATACATTGCCATAGAAATATTTCCGAGACTTTACTACCTTTAAATGTATTTTAATACATTTATATAGAAATTAAAATTGAATATAGTAAAGTCTCAAAAATATTTCTATAGAAATGTATTAAAATACATCGTATATTTTGTGGAGATAATTTTAACGATTTCAATTATTTATCCCCATAGACGTGATTTATGAGAAGATGCTTATGTTTCATCTCCAAAATTACTCTCTCCAAAACAATTATGATATGGCTAACAAAATTGTGACATGACAATTTTGAATCAATAACAAAATCTTGTACAACTAAATTTGTATTTGTTACCATAAATAAATCAAAGAGTTTTTAATCAATATATTATCAGATTTTCGTTTTTATTATTTTAAAATAGCTTAAGAATTGATTATTGTAAAAATAAAATTATAGAACATTTTTATAGAATATATATTCTTTTGAAAATAATAATAAGGACTTACCAAATTTTTAAAAGAGACTTTAATCCGCGTTTTATTTATAAAATTTATGATTTTTTATTTTAGTGTTTTAAAATATTAAATAATTTATTTGTATTCTAAATTCTACTTAAGGTATTTGGAAAACACAAAGTTAACATGTTTTTTTAACTCTAATGTATTAAATTATTATACTTTTTGATTTGACACGTGTACATATATAAAATAACTTTCCAAGTTAATACTAAGCAATATAATTATTCGTTTGAGATGTTTTTTTTTACGCAAGACAATTTAAAAGTAATAAAAATAAATTTTAATTCGAAAGCAGCAATTTTTTTTTTAATTTGTGTTTCATTTATAAATTTATGATTATATATTTTAATGTTTTAAAATATTAAGTTATTTATTTGTATTCTAAATACTATTTAAGATATTCGGATAAGCCAAATTTAATATTTTTTAATTTTAATGTATTAAATTATTATACATTTTGACTTGAAACATTTACATATATAAAATAATTAAATAGTAAAACTAAATTTTTGAAATTCATATTATTAATAAAAATAATATTATTGACTCAAAAAAAATT